CCTAACCACTCATTCACGACATCTAGTTGAAGATGTCCCTGCCCACTGCAGGGCGTTTGGGCTAGATGGCCTCTAAAGGCCCCTCCCAACCCAAAGCATTCTATGATTCTATTCTATGATTTGTTTATAGTCTCTTCAGGTGAACTACGAGGCCCTTGTACAGTCCTCTTCCCAAAAGGGTGGAACAAGGAAGAATCAAGAAGAGATACATGCTGCTGCCTGAAAAATCTCAGAAAGAACTTAAGAAGAGCTCTTGGGCTGCAGAGCTCACAACATCCCTCTGGTGCCACAGCAAACCACTTGGCACATCCATTTCACACTGGGCCATCGCTCCCCCAGGAGCACGTGCGATCTGTGTGTTTCCTCCACTCACATTATCACTTTCCTCTGATTCTCCATTGCCTCAAACATTGAGCAAGTTATTATCTAAGGACCAATTCTCACATATTGAGAGAACACAATCTAAGCATAAAAATGTAGATACTTAAGCATTCTCTTCAGAAAACGAAGACCTTTACCCTTTAATTTTAAAAAGGCACTGTTTACCTGCAGAAAGTCTATTTCAAGTGGTACCTTTGTTAAAAAGAAGGGGAAAACATCCAACTGCAATTGTTCTACAGAAGACCAAGTCTTGGTACCACACAACTGCTCAAATAATTCAGCAGAGCTATATCAATCTATACCATCTGATATCTGATCAATAGTCTTTAAAACAGATAATGACAGTAAATGCCTCCCGGATTTTTTCTTCTGACTTTTTTTGTCCCAGAGATATCAATCCAACATTGCGTCTTCCACTTCAAGAGTGTAATGCGCATTAGTTCAAACTGTCAGAAGAAGCAATTTTACAGTGTGATCGAATCTTGCTGATTTTGTACAGCCCTTCAGTAATTATATTAGTAACTGTAGGCAGGCATTATACCCAACACTGACAGCACATCACAGATCACCGTGTTAGTTGATTTAACAAAAACAAATGAAGGACAGGGTAGAAAGAAGTAAAGGAGAGTTCTGATGTGGCAAGAATGGTATACAAATGGCCTGCATCATGAAATGACAGACCAAGAAAAATACGCATCTTCCTGTTTTGGCAGAGTGAAGTGCATGGCAGCCTTTATTTAAGAATCAGCAGTCTTCACATTGTTCACTGCAAAAAACTTACATCAAAATCTTAGCCTATGGTGGGCAGTATAAACAAGATTATAAACTTAGTGATTATGAAAATATCACTTTAAAAATAAAAGAAACTGGACAATAATAATTAACAAAAGTTAACACAAGCGGTTTTTACTGAATTGTGGCACATAGTTGTGTTTTTTTGTGCATATACAGAAACAATTCAATACGGCTTCATAATAGTTAAGGTAGAATATGAATGAACTTTAAAACATTTCAGTATCTCACAGAAGTTCAGTTTAGCAGTGTAGAACCTCAACCAAACAACTATTCATTGCAAATGAAATCAGTAGGCTCAGAGAAGGGCAATTACTGATGAAATAAACAGGTGGTTCAAAAATTCTTTCAACTTCAGAAGTCTAACGGTCTCCAGTGTGTGTCCACCTCACATCAGCGGAATCATTCCCTAAATACCACAACTTCTGCTCTACGAGTTGCTAAAAACTGCTGGTCTCTACCTCAAACCATCAAGCAGACAGACACCATGACTCAGCTCTGGGAATCTAGCTGTTTCATCACTCTATTGTGAAAAGCCAGGTATTCTGCACAGATGGAGACTTGGCTTTAGTTTATGTTGAAGAAACCAGATGGCTTTCCCAGTGAGCACACAAAATGAATCAGCTATGTGTTTGTATCTGAGAAAAGGCATACATTCAGTCTGCATGGTATGGAATGAGAATGTTTGGCAAGAAACCTGGTTTAAAGACTAGTAACTATGATCAACTACACTCTTTTAAGTGCCATTCAAAACACTGAAGGTCCATTAAACACACCATAATTGCAGCATAAATATGCAACAGCAAATACCCATTCTCAGAAGAGATAAAAAAAGTTCTGAAAGCCAAAACTTCAAAGCAGTTTCAGTTGGAGAAGTAGAAATGACTTGGTGATGACATCCATTATCACAGGACAGTGGAGATTAGAAGGGACCTCTGGAGAAAATTTAGTTCAATCTCCCTCCCCAAAGCAGGCTGTTCACAACATTGTCCATGATGAATCGGAGTCAATTAAACCCCAAAATGGTTAACCTGAGTATTAAAAACACCTCGGATTTTTATGATAGTAGACAGGAGGATGGTAATTGACAGGAAAAGTCATCACCTCTGAGAGCTTTTCATAGCTTGGAAGCAAACAGTTGAAATTCGAATTAGAAGAATGCTCCCACTCCCCCTCCCAAAGCAACAAAAAAAACAACCTCCATAAAAAAAATACCAATCCCACAAAAAAAAAAAAGGTATAAAGGAAACTGTACCCGGTATGACAATTTTTATTTTATAGGAGAAAGAATACCTCAACTCACACCTCATAACCCCTGCAGATTATTGTCAAGGGCATTCTTAAGAAAACACAATGCAGTAAACCAGTATAGAAGACATGGAGTAGCATACACCAAGACATTATTTCAAAAATCTTTAGAAATAAAAGCCAGACACATGCAAGTCATGAACAGCACTTACAAAAGCTCATGCCAGACTAAATATAACACAAAAATAGCATATTTCTCAAAAAATGGACATATGAGGTCCCAAAAGGCACACAATCAAGATGATTTCCTGGACACAGTCTTAGCCACACATTCCCCTGACCCGTTTCCTTAATGGAATGAAAAGCAAAATACCATCTGAACTGGATGAGCTCATTACTGTTCAGTTTTATAATTCCCTCTGATACTTTAGCAGAACTTTATACACCCCATGCTAAATATCCCTTCAGATCACTGACCAGTGACTCTCCTCGTTCACTTTCTAGAACCTCCCACAGAAAGGAGGGGGGAAACAGCAAAACTCAATAAACCGTTAAAAAAAAGAATGCAAAGACTTAACCAGAAGCCAAACACAGATGAACTACCTTATTCACTGCATCTTGCCATTCATTGTTTGAGAAGAGCCACTCTGACTTGTTTTTCATCATGTTATCATCAAATCACTGATGTTATATTAAAAAACATATAGTGAACATGCTTATCCTATTCCTTATTGCAGGCGAAACAGAGAGAGGTCACAGACGAAAAGCTTCATCAGGCAATGTAATTAGATCATACCTGTTCTAAATAAAAGTTCCTTCAGAGTGATCTTTACCAGGAAGGGAGAAAAGGGGGAGAAAATAAAAGCCAACCCAGTTTTCTTCTTGCTGGTTTAACTGATGTGACTTCAGAGCACGTGTACTATATGCAAAATACATGGAGTTAAGTCCACAGCAAACTGGCAGTGCATGTTCATAAGTATTAGTTAACTAGAGTTGTTATTATTCTCAGCTTATGTTACTATTTTAACATTTGCAAATACAATCTGCTAAACTGTTAAATGGAGACATAATAAAATGCTGGAGAGTTTATTCTACTGATGCCTAGCAATTTAGGGTAAATGTAAAACGCTTTATGAAAATGCTATACTATTACTGTGCTTTTGCATAAACCTGTGCAGGTATTTTATCTTTTTTAAGTGTGTGCTGAATATTTACAAATCTGTAATGGAACTGAAAACTATGTTTTAAATTTGTCATTGGTTCAAAAGAAAAAATTGGGTCACTGTCATTGTGCAATCCATCTTTCAGTTGGAAGTGAAAGTTACAAAGGATTTTCCCTTCTTCAGATTTCTCTTTCTAGCATTATTGGAAAGCTTGTCTTCTTGTTTAAATGAATTTCCTTTTAATCTCTCCTTCTTGAGCTGCTGGATAGATGGAGCCTCTTAAAAAATTCAGGATATCACTGTAATTGTAAATTGATCTGCTTCTGTGGCAGAAGGCTGGGGGCCTCCTCCATCCAGGAGAGAGACTGACTTCTCGAAGTTGTTTTTCAGACAAATGATTAATTTGCACTCTCTTTTACTACTATATTCTCCTTTAATGGAAAAGCAGTTTTTAAACAAAACTACTACTTTTCGGACTGTTTTATTTCTGCAACATACAGGGAAGAAAGCCAACTGCCAAAGCCAGGGTGAAATATTTACTGGCTTGAAATTTTTATATTTCCTAAAGGAGACTTCGACTCTACTTACATAAGAACTAAGACTGTACTAGACAACTGAAGCGCACATATTCAGCGCTACTAAATTTCTGAATTAATGTAATATATTAATAGACACAGGATAATTCCCCACTGATTTTTAATGCAAAGTTAAGGTTGGAACACTGTTATGACTATGCAATCTTTAAAACAGACACGTAACTCAGTATCAAAGTAGAGGAAATTATCTGTCTAGTGTGGTGCTGAATCCACACAGCCTATTTGCCTTTGGCTCTCTGGTTATCAGATCTGGCATCACTTGGATTATTTCTCCTAATCCATCATTAGCTTTCACGTGTCCTATATACTGTGCAACAAAACTAAATTTAACAAACCCAACTCCACATCAATTACCATGCTGAATATATTACACGTCAGCACAGATCACAAAGATTAGACATGCTGAATTACATCTTTCTTCGTGAAAAGTCAATATTTTTAGAGCACTGTTAATGTTGCTGACTCCGACTGTAACAAATGTTACTTCCCATTGTGGACAGGCACTAATGCCCCAACCATTGCTATTTACATACAACACAGAGCTACTAAACAAAATGAAAAACCTCAGGAGACACAGAAAATAGATGCAAGATCCCAGTAACAGTGCCACAGAGTCACAAATGTGTCTTTTTTAATTGCCATATTTGCTTGGCCGGTGGAATCCTGGAAGATGACCTAATTTTTTTTTCCTTATACGTCTGCAAGTAAACATTAGTAATTTAGATTTAACTTTCTACATAGACAAAGCACACAAAAAGGTTATTACTCACAGCGAAAAATAAATACAATGCTGTTGTGTTAATATAGCATCCTTACTTACCGGTCTTCCACAAATACACCGACGAAGTTTGAAATCCACTTTGTGCACCAGTGTCCCAGATTCCCAGCAGCAGAAGCACAAGCACTCCCACGCACCGGGCTGGCACAGCGGAAACCCCTGGACCACGGCAGAAAGCAGCGCTCTCCTCGCTCAACCCCATGCCTCCAGCAGCCCACTGCCACCGCCAAAACCTGCAGCACGACCACGAAACCTTCTACAAATAATACTCCCCTCTTCAGAATTTCTTCACAGGGAGAAGCAGACTGGAAACCTCTCTCCCGCTATTGTGCATGGCAGGTGAAAAGGAAAAACTGTTTAACACCAGGGAACAATAGAGTCCTTGCTCGCTCTTACTGCTGCGGCGGCTGCCGCTAGGCTGGGTGTGGGTCCCCCCCCTCTTGACAGCTGTCCGCAGGGGGCTCCAGCTGACTGAGCAGGTTATCTTGCTCTGGGAGGCAGCAGCAGTCATTTACACCAGCTGGAGAGAGTGAGAGACAGAGAGAAATAGGGATGAGGAGAAACACAAATAGCCCAGTGCTGTAATCTCGATGCAGAGAGTGACTGCAAAAGGCTGGCTTCCCAGACACGTCTCTCCCTGGAATATCCCAAATGATACATACTAAGAAGAAGAGAAGAAATCATCATCAGACGTGCTTCAGAAACACAAGTCATGCAACCAGAAAAGATATCACCAGAATGATATATAGTAATTAAGAGAGCATCAGGCATTTGTCCTGATAACAATATGTATGCTGCATTAACCATTTTGTAAACAACAACAAAAAAGTGATTAAACATCTATTAAATAGACAATTAAGACCTTATGAAGGTAAATGGAAGAATATGCAGGGGAAAAAAAAGAAAAAAAACACTAACTTGCATATCTATCAAATCTGCTTCAGTCAATAAAATATACCTATCTGCTGTGAGGACAGATGAATATATGTATATGATAACTTGAATGTATGTGTAAGAACATCACCTCTGTGGTAGATGAAGCGTGCATGTAATACATATACATAATGCAACATAACATCCTTTCCTATCCAGAAAGTGTGTACACATATACACATGCATAAATGTCAACTGTGTAATTTAAAATATTTGAAGAATCAAGTTATCAATCATTTTTAAAACATACACTGAGTTTTACATATGAAAGCATTCAGGATACATCAGGCTGTCATGATGATACAAAAACGTGGAGAGAGACAAAGCTTTTTAAATAGGGAGCTTTATCTCTCCCACTCACTAACCAGTGAACAGATGCAAGAACAAGCCTAACGATCAGGTTTCGGACACCTACAAACTGGGAAGCGAATGAGGAATTTTTAAGAAAACTGCTATCATATTGAAAAAGTTTCATTAAAAATGCAAACAGCTACAAAAAGACACAGTAGGAACACAGGACACAGAGTTTGGAAATGATGGAGCTATTGTTGTTTAAAGAAGAAACCTTCAGACAACCTCTCCTGGGACGCCTGTCATTTTGCACAACCTTCCCAGACTCAGCCTTTTCACATGCATTAGATTAAAATCAGCCGTGATCAAATAATTCCCAAGTCCTTGCCTGTTTAAATATTCTGACATCAGAGCAAATTAGTAATGTTGAAGGTTGCAAATTCGTCTTTGTTTACTTTCCACTCTGTTACGCCTCTAAGAGGGAATTAAAGGCTCAGGGAGCTCTAGCACCGTGAGGCTGTGATTAAGAGAGATAAGCAAGTGTGGATTACTGTTCCTCAACTGTTGAAAAACAGGCAACAATCAGGAGATTATAGGTTGATAAGGGATACATGGAAAGCCATGATCTTAACAAATTTACAGCATCCTGATGCAGAACTTGTTCCCTCAGCTAAAGCACTCCTTGAAATACATTTTAT